CTTGTTGCCCTAGCAACAAGAAACGCATCTAGTTATTATTATTATTTTTTTGACCAAATTTTGTGCAGGCGTTTTCTCGAATACTATTCAGTGGTTTTTCGTGAAACTTTCAGGAAAAATTAGTCATTGTATGAACTTGTTTCATCACAAGGAAAATTTGGAAAATTCCATTTTGGTTCCAAGTTACGGGCAATTTCCTGATTTTAAAATGAAATTTTGTCCGCGAATGTTCTCAAGAATGACTAAAGATATGAACTGGAGACTTATTGGAGAGCATAGAACGTGACTTTTGAATTTGTGAAATCACATTTTCGTTCGTCGTCGGCACTTCCGGTCGTTTACGGAAGTGATCAAAGAAATCATAAAATTTCAACTTTCTTTTTTTAAATCAATACTTACATCACATTATTGCATCTCTTTTGTAGTTTCGAAATATGTTTGTCCCACCGGAAACAAAAACGTTAACTTCCGGTTATAAGAGAAAAACTACACAATTTTAGAATTTTTCTTTCCCATTAATATCTTTTGTAGATAAAGTTTTTGAAATGAATTTTAAATATGTTATTCAAACTGCAGATATCTAGAGTAACATCAAATATCTTTGTAAAATTCACTTTCGGTCGCGTGTTTTCCTGTCCTCAAAATGAGAAGTTGTCTGAGCAAGATCTCGGAGATGGTGAGAGATTAAGACACCAAACTTATATGAGCAACAGACCTTAAGATGTAGGCAAAACCATTTGGGTTCAGAGCGTCAGCCGTCACTTCCAGTCGTCACAGGAAGTGATCAAAGAAATCGAAAATTTTAACTTTTCTTTTTTTAATTAAAAATTGCATCACTTTATTGCAACTTTTTCGGAGATTCGAAAGATGTTGGTCTCACCGGAAACAAAAGCGACAACTTCCGGTTATAAGAGAAAAACTACATAATTTGAGTATTTTACTTTTCCATCAATATTTTTTCGAGAAAAAGTATTTGAAATGAATTTTAAATATGTTATGCAGACTGCAAATGTCTAGAGTAATCGTAAATGTCTTTCAAAAATTCACTTCCGGTCGCATGTTTTCCTGTCCTCAAAATGTGAAGTCTGAGCGAGATCTCAAAACCAGGTAAAAGATTAAAACACCAAACTTTTATGAGTAATAGACCTTGGGGAGTAGGCAAAACCATTTGGGTTAAACGCGTCAGTCGTCACTTCCGCTTGTCACAGTAAGTGATCAAAGAAATCTAAAAAAATTAACTTTTCTTTTTTAAATTAATGCTTGGTCACTTTATTGCATCTCTTTCGCTGTTTTGAAATATGTTAGATTCCACCGGAAACAAAAACGTCAACTTCCGGTTTTAGGAGATAAACTGCTTTACTTTGATATTTAACTTTCTCATAAATATTGCTCATCGATAAAGTACTTGAAATGACTTTATGTATGTTGTATATATTGCAAATGTCTAGAGAAAAGTCAAAGATTTTTATAAAATTCACTTCCGGTCTCGTGTTTACCTGTCCTCAAAATTAGAATTTGATCTCACAATATTGCTCGGCAACAGTAAACGACTGAAGTCTAAAACTTTCAAGACTGATGGTCAGTCATCAGTTATATGAATCGTGAGAAAATCTTGTATCGGCGTTACTTCTGGTACTTCCGGCCGTGACCGGAAGTGATGTAAAAAATGAATGGTTAACGTTAGCAAGTTGGATTTTCACGCTGACGACCAGGGTTAAATTTCCAGAGTGTCTGAATTTCTTTTATCTCTTTTTCAGCTTGAATTTTCGTTTTTATTTTCAGAATCGGACGGAAGACCTCTCATTGCTCGCAATGAGTTTCTAGTTTAATATAAACTATTTATATATATAAAAAAATATAATGATACAATTATTATGGACAACATTTAAATGACATATATTCAATTATCTACTTCCGCTAGCATGATGCTACTACCGGTAGCTTTAACCTAGTTTTGAAACAGCAAAGGTAGCATCAGGATAAGGATCAGATCAGGATAAGGATAACTAGCATTAAATCAGCAAGCAAAGGAAGCATTCATATCAGCAAGCAAAGGATTAAAAAAATTCAGTATCGGTACTGTACCACTCTCAGCACTGTACAATAATGGGCAAGACGGTTACCTTTATTCCCCCAAAAAGTCAATATCATCAATAAGTACACATTATAAGAATAGGCAGGACGGTTACTGGTATTTCACAAAGACGTCAGTATCAATGAGTACACATTATAAAAATAGGCAGGACGGTTACTCGTATTTCACAAAGACGTCAGTATCAATAAGTACACATTATAAAAATAGGCAGGACGGTTACTGGTATTTCACAAAGACGTCAGTATCAATAAGTACACATTATAAAAATAGGCAGGACGGTTACTGGTATTTCACAAAGACGTCAGTATCAATAAGTACACATTATAAAAATAGGCAAGACGGTTACTGGTATTTCACAAAGACGTCAGTATCAATAAGTACACATTATAAAAATAGGCAGGACGGTTACTCGTATTTCACAAAGACGTCAGTATCAATAAGTACACATTATAAAAATAGGCAAGACGGTTACTGGTATTTCACAAAGACGTCAGTATCAATAAGTACACATTATAAAAATAGGCAGGACGGTTACTCGTATTTCACAAAGACGTCAGTATCAATAAGTATACATTATAAAAATAGGCAAGACGGTTACTGGTATTTCACAAAGACGTCAGTATCAATAAGTACACATTATAAAAATAGGCAGGACGGTTACTCGTATTTCACAAAGACGTCAGTATCAATAAATACAAATTGTAGTAAGGGCAAGACGGATCCCTGTATTTCCTACAGAAGTCGGTATAATCAGTAACTACAAATGATAAGAAAGTTCATTCCACACTTTCCGAACATTTTTATGTTCAATGAGTCAATCCTTGCTACTGATGAGGTTTTAACTGTGTATAAGAGGGAAACTCAGATATCTTAAGAGATGATCAATCTTCGTACAATCGTACAATAAAATCAGATACACAGAATATCTGTGAAATATAACCAGCCCACGGTCTTTATAGCCTTTCAAATACCCATGCACAATTCATTACGCATGCACAAATTTTTTGTAAGTGTCAGCAATGTTTTTTGTTTTTAATATCCCACCCTAGTTATTTCATATTTTAGATCTTATCCCATCCCTATATATATCAACATATAACAGTATTCATGGTATTTATTCATAAATAAGTGTTAGTATATTGAATTGTTTGTCATACAATAAAATTAATCATAACAATCTATGCATGGGAAATATTTTTGAATATATCATGATTAAAACCTTTGGATGCAGTACATAATTTTATGCTAAATAAAAAGCAGTGACTATTATCGGAAAAGTCCTGCAAATTTTTTAATTGCATTACAAAACTTTACATTATTACGTTTTTCAATCTTCTTAAAATATTAGCACACACGTCAGTGAAATTTTATTTTCATTCCATTGAAAAATTTTCTAGACATGGCGACACAAAAATTATGGTAAATGTATACTAGTATATATATAATCTCTTTAAAATAATCTACGTATAATGTTCGGGATTAAGATCCCAAGGGAAAAAAATGAATTAAAAGAAATAAGGTGAATGTCTAGATCAGTAATTGTGTGTTTTTTTTCTACACAGACACTGTATATTTTTCAGCAATTGTTTAGGCCATATTCTCAATTACTGCAAAAGCGCCACACGACTTGTCATACAAATAGGGATTGACTGCGATCGATATTAGAAAAAAAAAACAATAATATTTTTGATTAAATCGTTTTTCATTCTATTTTTCTATATAAATTGAAATAAACGTAAAATGATTTTTTTTCCACATTATACTTCCTGTTCAAAACTCATTTATATACAAAGATTGATGTAATATATTTATAGATGTCTATATTATGATTAAATGAAGAACTTAAAATTAAAGAATACGACAAATTGCAGTTATAATAATGATATTTTCTCTCAATAAGCTAGATCAGGATTACAAATTTTAAACTTAGGTATGAAAACACAGGTAATTCTCACGGACAATCTGGGTATACTGTTTGTGTATAAGATTTAGTGGCCTGCACGAACTATAAGCAACTGACTCGGGGTAGCATGCATATAAAACTAAGCAGTTCCCCTTACCGTACGGTTAAAAACCTCGGCCTTTGATAATTTATTGTCATCATGGAAGAGAGAGATAGCGTACTTTTGGTATTCATGTTTGTCTGCCAATGCCTTTGCGGGTGTGATTGGTCGACAGGAGATCCTCATTCTTACTAGGCGCCTGATGCCAACAATGGTTTTTCCAGGGGTCCCTGCCTTATACATTTTTCACATATTTGTATTGTTTATAAGATTTTTGAAAAATATCATTGTTCATTACCCTGTTCTAATAATTCATTATATATACGCTGATATACAAATGAAAACTGAACAGAAATCTTGGTGCTTCCAATATGCTCTATGCTTTTGTTATATGCGTCGAACTAATAGTAAATAAGTATGAGATCATAGTAAAATCCAAATTATTTGTTAAATTTTACCTTTACTTTCAACCAATCAGAGTCTGATGTTAATTTTTGTTTGGTTTACATTTATGCTTCGTTTTCAGAAATAACGCCAGTTTTATATGGCGATTCGTTTAATATGACCGTTTTCTTTTGTTTTTCAGAACTAACTCACGTCTGATGTAAAATTTGTGTTTGATTTGACCTGTATTCTTTATTTTTCAGAAGTAATTCCCGTCTGTTGTGGATTTTTGTTTACCTTGACCTCTTTGCTTGTTTTTTCATAATTGACTTTCATCTACTGTGGATTTTTGTTTATTTTAATCTTTATGCTTTGTTTAATATGTTTTTTAAAGAAGTAACCCATGCCAGGTGTAGATTTTTGCTTAACGTGACCCATGTGCTTGATTTTTTTCAGAAGTACTTTCAGCCTGATGTAAATTTTTGTTTAATTTGATTTTTATGCTTGCTTTTTTTTAGAAGCAATTCCCGTCTGATGTGGATTTTTGTTGGTCTCTTTTTCGGATCTATCGTTTTAGTTCTACTGTGTTTCTTTTGTTACATCAAATGTAAGAAGAAAACTCAGGAGACAGAGAACACTGTAGGAAATACAGGTATAAAGTCCTCTTTGTCCCTAATTATATAGTAAACACAGTGGTAAATCGTCTTCTTAGACCTTAATTATATAGCAAACACAACAGAGGTAAATGGTCCTCTCTCTGACCCTAATTATATAGCAAACACAACATAGGTATATCGTCTTCTCAAGTCTTAATTGTATAGTAAACACAACAGAGGTATATCGTCTTCTCAGACCTTAATTATATAGCAAACACAACAGAGGTAAATCGTCTTCTCAGACCTTAATTATATAGTAAACACAACAGAGGTATATCGTCTTCTCAGATCTTAATTATATAGCAAACAAACAGAGGTAAATCGTCTTCTCAGACCTTAATTATATAGTAAACACAACAGAGGTAAATTGTCTTCTCAGACCTTAATTATATAGCAAACACAACAGAAGTAAATTGTCTTCTCAGACCTTAATTATATAGCAAACACAACAGAGGTAAATCGTCCTCTCTCTGACCTTAATTATAAAGCAAACACAACAGAGGTAAATCGTCTTTTCAGACCTTAATTATATAACAAACACAACATAGGTATATCGTCTTCTCAGACCTTAATCATAAAGCAAACACAACAGAGGTATATCGTCTTCTCAGACCTTAATTATATAGCAAACACAACAGAGGTATATCGTCTTCTCAGACCTTAATTATATAGTAAACACAACATAGGTATATCGTCTTCTCAGACCTTAATTATATAGCAAACACAACAGAGGTAAATCGTCTTTTCAGACCTTAATTATATAGTACACACAACATAGGTATATCGTCTTCTTAGACCTTAATTACATAGCAAACACAACAGAGGTATATCGTCTTCTCAGACCCTAATTATATAGTAAACACAACAGAGGTATATCGTCTTCTCAGACCTTAATTATATAGCAAACACAACAGAGGTAAATCGTCTTCTCAGACCTTAATTATATAGTAAACACAACATAGGTATATCGTCTTCTCAGACCTTAATTATATAGCAAACACAAGAGAGGTATATCGTCTTCTCAAACCTTAATTATATAGCAAACACAACAGAGGTATATCGTCTTCTCAGACCTTAATTATATAGCAAACACAACAGAAGTATATCGTCTTCTCAGACCCTAATTATATAGTAAACATAACAGAGGTATATCGTCTTCTCAGAACTTGGTTGTATAATAAACGCAACGAAGGGTGTAAAATTGGGATGTTAACATTAGTGCTTAATATTTCACAACTCACATGATTCTTTTCTGGTTCTCTAACATGTTTGTAAAAACTGTATATGACTCACGTAGTGCTACGTAATATTGGCTTGTGAGATTTAGAGCAACTATAATGATCAGATAGGTTGAAGAATTTTTGTACTACAAAGGTAGAAAAGGCTCATCGAGTCGCTTCTAAGTTATCATATTATTCCAACTGTTGTTCATTATTTTTTTTTCTATTGACAAACAGATTAGGGAACTCAGAAAAGAGAAAACCGTTAACATATTCGCACAGGTTATGAAACCTATACCTCTTGTAAAATTCCTGATTATACACTATAAATAAAATAAAATAGATAAATGTTCCTGCAAAATAATTACATAAGACATTAGAAATATATGTATTAAGTGTCCATATAATAACAAAAATCATAAAATATGATGTCATCATGAAATTAATCCACGTACTTTTTCTCAATATAATTGTAAATATAACGCTGAAAAATTTAATTTGCAAAGTAATCTCAAGCGAATATTCTAAATTATTGAGGCTGACGATTAAAATCAAAATTATTTGCAAACATATTTAGAATAACATTAAACAAATGCCTTACGAATATTAGGGAATTTAGGATTTACATCTCTAAAAAATTCATGAAATGCTATATTACTATCCTTAAATCAAACAAACAAATTTTTAACAAACAGAAGTACGAAAAAGATCGATAGAAAAAGAACATCTTACGTTTCAAAACAGATGCAAAATTTTTAACAGACGTGAAATATTATATAAAAGAATAAAATGTGAGTAATCACAGTTTCTGATATGCTACATTGAGATTTAATTATAATTCAAGGCGTAATTTTTTTCTTTCACATGATGATATAAAATTAATTTTTTGATGATTGCTGTCTTCTTGCAGTGTCAGTGGTACGACTACCAGATACAAGATATGATATAAATCCTCCCCCTAGATATTCCCAGACACTAGAAGAGGGACACCAGACCCTCAAAGTAACTGATGGGGCCAGTCCTCCCAGGTACAGTGATATCATTAATCCTCCAGGGAATACCGTATCCTCTCCAGGAACTTCAACAACTGATTCTGTCAGTAATTCATCAGCAGTGGCTTCTGCAACAGCAGACTCTATCAGTAATTCATCACCAGTGGCTTCTGCAGCTCCTCGTGACATCGCTTTAGGATCGAATGTGTCGACACATTCAAGTGGAACAGAAGATAGGCCAACACCAGGAGATGAGGATGAACGGAAGGATGAGGCGCACACCCCGACCCACGATAAAGCAGGGCTTATCGAAAACGAAGTGGATGGTTGACATGTCTATAATAAAGCAAAGAGAAGCAACTTCTACAGACAGAAAGATGTGTTGTAAAAATACTTTGTTGTTAGTTATATTAAAACACATCAAACATCATTTCCTCAAAGATAATAAAGTGTGGATTTCTTATCCCATTCACACTAGGAATCACTTTAACAGACTTAAAGAGAATTTGTATATTAGGAAAAAATCACAATAAAAACATCTGAAAGACAAAATTCTCCTTTTGCATAAAGGGGAAGAAGGATATTGAGCTGAAAAAAAATTGCCATTCAGGTTTTTTTTTTCATATTTCGTATATTACTAATTTAGTTTATTATACCCCATATAAATAATTACTAATAAAATAGAACCTGATTGGCCGAGACAGTCACGTGACCCTCGTGTTTGCCCTGAAACAAAACTTCGTGTTTCACGTCGTGTTTCACGATTATGACGTCACAATGCGGCGTCTGAGTTTACTACTGAGTAAGATTGTTTATACCGTTGATTGATTGTGTCAAATTCAAACGTGTAAAATATAAATATTTAGGAAAGTGTTTTCATGGGTAGGGTTTTTATGTTACTGGTGTGTAAATTACACTTACTTGTCACGAAGGAATCTTTTTTATGAAGCACGATTAGTGGTGTAACTTACTTCTGTTTCATTTTGTTCTTATCAAATGTTTACTTTATTCATTGGATTTCCTTTATATTTCCTGCATTGTGCTTGATTCGGTATAATAAGCAATTTATTGCATGAATGTTCGGGAGACATGAAGATTTCTTCGCCCATGAAAAATCATAATTTGCAGTGCTTGTTTTAAATCTTTTTTATCTAGTGCTTACGGTTTTAATTCAATGTTCTTATCTAGTATTTTACAAACTTATCCTGCCTAAAATCCATGTTAAAATAAATCGCCGAAAAACGAAAAATATAATCGCGGAAAAGTAAAACTGTGAAGGATGCCCTTCAGGCAATTTGTGCAATTATTTTAATTGATTTGAAGGATATTTCTTTATCAGGAATTATGAAATTTTAGATGATAAGTTCGCATATCGAAATTATTTTGATTTTTGGCCAAATTGCAAGAAATCCAGTTCTCTTCATTGATAGTACTTGTCCGTCCATCTCCTTACTGGTCTTAAAATGTAATTATAGTTCCACTTTTTACTGATATTTACTGATATTATACTGTTGATCCTGAGAATTTCTGATATTTTTCGATATTTTTACTGAAATAACTGATAATTCCTGGTGAACTTTTGAAGCAATATCAATTGGAGGGCATAACCTTAAAAAATCTTGACAAGCCCCCCCCCCCCCCCCCCCCCCACACACACACACAAATGAGTAATTATAAGTGAAAACAATAAATAGGAAAGGAACAAAAGAAAAAAAGGGGGAAAAAAATCCACCAGACGTTTTTGAGGGGACACAAAAATTATTGTAAATTAAACCGGTGTTTGTTTCCTAATGTATAATATACACTTGCAAATTTATTGCGGAAAAATTATCGCGGGAAACCCCCTCCCGATCTCTACGGGTCTGTAAAACATACGCATTCAAATTCCAACAACAAACAAAAGATGTTATTTTTATTAATTTGCTAACATCAAAATGTATCTTTTTACATCTTATACTGGTGCTGGAATTGAAAGAAAGAAGAAAAATTGGAAATAAAAACAGTATCTTGGTCTCAACATTTCGTTTTTTTTCTAGATTTATCTATTTGCAAGTCTTAGACAACTTACAAGTATAAATAATAAGGTCATCATTAAAAATATCTTTCCCCTTACCCGACCCTAAATTCTCAAGTTGGGTGGATAGGTAGGTAAATATATATTTTTTTCTAACAGCAGCTTTGAAAATACATTCTGAAAGTTAATTGAATAATACCTTATTATAAATAAGAAAAGAACAAAAGAAAGCGATTTGTAAACAGAATATCATACAAATGTCGTTTAAAAGCAAACATCAAGGTAAATTAATTCACAACTGTTATTTAGTTGAACTTGTAAAATATATCACGCCAGTGTAAATTTATTTAAATCGAATAAAAAAAGAAGACAAGATTCTCAAATACGCAAAGACCGGACATCCGAGTATATTTTTTCGAACTTCTATCAGCTTCCAGTGCTTATACAAGCAATGTACGTTTTAGAAAGCCATAAGTTGTGCAGTGGTTCTAGAGCTAGAGCATTTCGTTTTGGAGTCCCAAAGTAAGGGGCTAATTTTAAGTCGCAAGTTCAAATCCCAATGGGGGACGTTGAGAACGGTCCTTCAAATGGGACTGTAAAATCTTAGGTCCAGTGTCGTAGTAGCTATAGATGCTGGCAAGAAAAAGATCCCTCACTGCTTAATGGCCAAAGTGCCGAGTACGTCTAAAGGACTATATTCTGTAGTGGCCAGTATCTGCTCCCAAAATAAAACTTTGATGGAGAAATCTTTAATTATGTTCTAAACCAGGTGGATATTTGCAGACTTCAAAGCATTAAATATTTTTATCAACTATGACATCATTAGTTAGATATGACGTCAATAAAATGACGTAAATTCCAAATTGCAATGATTTTGAGAGAAAATAGTGTATTTTACGTCGGTATTTTGATTGGAAATTATCGAGCGCAGGTCTGCTCAGACTAGATCTTTTGATATAATGTGTAGAATGATAATATCAATGAAATATGTGAATATGGTACCTGAGCAAGCTTGCGCTCTATAAATACTATAGTCAAATTTGAACAAATTCTGTGCATTTTGGCCTCTATTTTAAAAATAACGAAAATCCAAATAGTTTGTGACGTCACAGAGACAAGAAAAGCCAACTAATTTTTCCAATTTCATAATATATTGTCTTAATTTGGATTATTTTATACAATATATGCACTTTTTCTCATTTCAAGAGATTTTCAAAATTTGACTATTATGGGGGCAGGAATACGCCCTTACCGAATATAGTTCTTTGGAGCCCTCCACCGGGGAAATGTTCAAATGTTGATTGTTCAAAATTTGTATCCCAACAAATCTCAAAGGGATTTAAAGCAAAGAAACAACCAATCTTCAAGGACCTGATAGAAGAAAAATACACTGGACGTCTAAGGAAGCTGTATCATGATTTCAAAACTATTTGGAAAGAGTATGTGAACAATATTTGATTGAATCAAACCGTATCTAAAAATGATTAAAATATCATACACAATGTCATAGTCACGAAGTTTACTCCATGAATAAAAGACATGAAGAAAGGACGTATGAGCTATTCATTAGGATACAATATGCAGACATATTTACAACAATTCCTATGGTCCCATAATGGCATATAGTAAATATAGGAACATAGATGAACTGGTTATTAAATCAAAACTCAAATTAAATAAAATGCAGTAAATTGAATGATGTGTTCACAAAGCGGGCCCCTCATCTACTCACGAGGAGGGACTTACCATGTACTATGTACCTTAATTTTAAAAGACAGGTTTGTAAATACCACCCAAACACTCTTAATTAGTCATGATAATTTTATTATCGAAATGTTTCAAGAGTGTAGGATTCTAATAAATTAAATCCCTTTGTTCACTGTGGGACCGACTGGTCATTGAAAATGAAATGTTATATAGAAGATGGTCAGATCTTATTACAAAACAGGATACATTACAAGTCATTGTCCCAAAGCAGGAACGATGGAATGTTTTGAAACATTACCATGACTCAAGGACAGCAGGCCACCTTTGAATTCACAACACACTTGCGAGAATCCGTTAATCCTATTATTTGCCAGGTCTACAAAAAGATGTTCATTCTTATGTTGCCGGCTGTGAGGTGTGCACCAAGAGAAAAGCACCAAGACAAACCAACAAAGCTCCAATGCATTTAGTCTTCACGGGGTATCCAATGGAAAGACTGGCAACGGATCTTTTAGGCGAACTGCCAATGACATCCAATGGGAATAAATATATCCTTGTTGTGGCAGACTGCTTTACAAAGTGGACGGAAGCCTTTGCATTGCCAAACATGGAGGCAGAAACCGTTGCTACAAAGATTGTCGAAGAAGTCGTTTCCAGATTTGGAGTACCAGCTACGATACATTCTGACCAGGGTTCGCAGTATGAAAACAATCTTTTCCAGGAAATGTGCAGACTGTTTGACATACAAAAAACCCACACCACTCCGTACCACCCACAGTCGGACGGAATAGTGGAGCGGTTTAACAGAACGTTGACAACAATGCTTAGTGGTTTTGTCAATGAGCACCACACTGACTGGGATGTCCATCTTCATTTCGTAGTGATGGCATATCGAAGCTCGGTGCATGAAACTACAGGAATGACAACAAATATGATGATGTTTGGGCGAGAGGAAATTGAAATGGTATCATTTCGAAGTGGGTAAAAAGGTTTATGTTTTCTTACCAAGAAGAAAGCCAGGCACATCACCAACGTTTACAAGTTATTGGCGAGGTCCATTTAAGGTGGTTAAAACAATCTCTGACTTGACATATCTTGTCAATTGCGGTCCGAGGGGATCAACTCAAGTTATTCATGTTGACAGAATGCGAAAAAAGCATGCACAAATTTTATCAAGGGAAAATGACGAACCGTTGCCAACATGTGAAACTCCTGACGACTCAGGTCCTATAATTGGTGATCTTGATTCATGCGTTAATGAAGAACTACCATTGTCTCATCGCCCTAGTAGAGATCGCAAACCTTCTAGTTGGTTGTATGATTATGAGACAGATTTGTAATTATCTCTCTAGTATGCATTTACAAATTGTATTAGGAAGCTTATCTAGTTTTTATATATGTATATTTTTAGTGATGGCTAAAACTAAGACAACCACAAGAAAAGAATATCGGCGGTGTCCAATGTGTTCGGAACCTGCAGGAACAGAAGAAGGATTCAAGAAACACATTATGGTGTGCGCCATGAGAGTTTTTGAGTGTCCAACCTGTGATTTTACCAACACTAGAAAACTCAATCTCAAGAGACACACCAAACGATGTCATCCTGGCTTAAGGCCTAATGATGAACTTATCAAACTGGGTGCAAAAGAGCAAAGTAAAGAGAAGGCAGGTGGTTCGTTGAATGAAGAAAACAAAGATGAGGAAAGCGCAAATGAAGATTGGTTGGACCAGGACCCTGGTGAAGTTATAGGCGAGATATACTCTGCAGACTCTTCGAGTAGTAACTCAAGTGATGAGAATGAAGAAGATGTTATTGATGAGCGGAAGGAGAAACAGGATCCGAAGAAGAAAGAAGACAATCTGTTAGAAGGAAGACTTTTCCGTAAGAAGACCCAACCGACTTTGCCTTTTGCAAGAAAAAGACCAAGTTTGGAAGAGATCCCCGTTCCAAAGAAGATTATTCTTAATATGGACAAAGCAACCCAGGTTGATATGGAACCAGCAGTACCCCCTGTACAGAGTAGTGGAGTCGACGTTTATACACAGACATCCCTAAAGAAAAGAGATGTTATGACCAAAACGACAAGAAAGTTTCGTGAAGGAGAGGCAGATATCAAAGTTGTTGCCAAAGAAAGAATAATTCATAACTGACATGTTCCAGTAACTTCAATGGAAATTATATTTAACACAGATAGTGTTCATCAGTTTTGTTTGTTATTTTTATTGCTGTTCTTGTATTGTTGCTTATTTGGCCGACCATATTAATACTGTTTTGTCGTAAAAAGAAAAAAATCTTTTTGTTGATCTATTGAGTTTGTATGCGGGATGCATGTCATCGGAGGCGTGGGTAGTGTAATATTCCGGAAATTTATAGTGTGACCATTCGGGATTAGCTATAATGTTGCAGATGTAAACTTCCGTGTTAAAAAGGTATATAAAGGCTGAATCCCGGTACAGACAGTCTTTTTCAGTGCAAGCTGTGAAGAGTTAGACGTGTGGGAACATAACAGTGGTAAGTGAGACTATAAAGAAATAAAGTCAGCTTACAGAAGAGGACGACCTTATGAGATAAGTAAGGTCAACAAGTACAAGGATAGTTATAAGAAGGCTGTTGTGTTTTCGAGTGGCAAGCCACTCAGAGGCTAACCATCAACGGAGGTTAGCCACCGTAATTCGTCTAATTGACCTGTCTGGCGACCAGGCTGTTGTGCGCAGTGTGTCTGCCTGAATAAGGCTAGCAGTGTGTACAGCAGTTGAAGGGCTGTCACTTGTACTGACTGTGTCCTGAATAAGGTTGCAGTACAAGCGTCAGTCCGGTGTTGGGCAGTGAAAGGGATAGTCTACCCACTGCATTTACACAATCATTTGTAACTAGTTGATTACCTATTTCATATTGTCGTGACTATTAACCTAGATAAGGTTAGGCCATATTATTTGTATATATTTGCAGGCCTTTGTTGTCAATCATTTGCCAATCATTTATTAAGAAAAAATGTTATATCGAAGTCATCCCCGAAATCCTTGAAATGACAAGGTACGACCCCCGATAGAATATAACATTCAGCTCGACACTACATGTTATACCAGTTGACTTTTGAGCTTAATTACTTTTCCTTATCATCATATTTCATCCATTTAAAACATGATAAATATGGCGTTTTCGGACAGGGTGAGGCTATAGAATTGTAACAGTTTCCTTATAAAGAAAAAAAAAAAAAAAAAAAAAAAAACCGAGAAAACCCTGATTTTAAAAGTTGCATCTTAAGCTTCAAAAATTTTTTTTAAGTATCAGGTCAGCGGTATTTTGAACAGTGTATTTGATAAAGGAAAATGGAAAAACGTCTGACATCTTTTGGCACTGATATCAAGATAAATAAAGAAATGTTTGCTTTTGAATGTGTGCTATTCTTGTCCTTTACAATCCTATCTAGTAGTATATTCTACGTTTTAAATATGTATTTAAATCTATGTTGTTTTATGTCTTGAAGAACAGAAAAAAAAATCAACTAAATGTTTATCATTCAAAATTCAAGATTTATGAAAAAATAGTTCCAACGGGATTCGATCCAGGGTGTAAAAAAACGCCACAACTATTGTTGTATAAGAATTCTGTCATATCGACTCCGTACTTTAACATAAATGGTGTAATAAGACTTGTGAGGGAATCTGTCCAAAGGCACCAAACCTTTTCCAGGACCAGTTCGTTATTATTTTTATTAAATCACTCGCATCTAAAGTAAATTTTATTGGCGGACATCAGCTGATCACGGAAGTGCTGAGTATTTCTTCGCGTCACCAATATATGTAATGGCATTCGGAACATTAGTTGCGAGAGGGAAAAATTCCGAATTTTCTCTTCATATTAACCGTGAATTCTGTATAAAACCAGATAACTGTATCTAGCTGAAACAGATGGATGAAGATTAACTTTTAACATAAGACCTTGACAACCAAATTTAGCAATAACACAAGGCCAGGAAAACCTTTTTAAGTGCGTGTCTACGAGAAAACCATGCAAAATCCAAAGGAGATGGGCGAACATAGCATGCAGAAAGCCTATAGCTTCAGAAATATAAAAATCATGTTCAGTTTGTGAATTTGATATTTAGAGTAAAGTTCTCATTATTGAAATTTATGAGATTGTGTTAAAGAAAACTTTTCTGAGGAAAATTTTCTCGGCAAAATTTATTCTTTTATTAAAAAAATTAGTGTGGTATTCGTGGGGTTCGAATCCTAGCAATAAAAATCCTGAGTATCATTTTCTTTCGAGACTAGCCCGCTAACCACTAGACTACACAAGTCCTGACGAACAGTGGCATTTAAATCATGTTTGTGATATGACCGTTGACTTAATGGACTTCAAGTATTTCTCGAAAAGATGCGAATTTTATGTCATAAAAGTATATTTTTAAGGTATAGTGGGTCATTGCTCCATACTTTTGGTAACCAAAAAATGTGTATTTTTATGCAAACTTTGAGGATTAACTCTCAAAAAGGTGGAGCGAAGACCCACTCATATCGAAAAATAGTGTTATAGTAAGAGAAAATGACTCTTTTTGCTCGCTTTAGTGTGTGTCTAATATTTCACAGGCAAATAATTTCAATCTTTGGGGGATTTTTGCAAATTGTAGAGATTTTACATAAAATATATTTTAATGTTAGACGAAATATCAAGGAAAATTTTGATATAATTGAAATTTAATTTTTTATCACCATGTTTGTCACACTATAGGCTTATCGCTCGTCATGTTCACCCATCTCCTTTATTATGAAAGGCATTGTGATCATTTTGACTGATTTTAAAGTTTCTGATTAGCATCATGTGTCCTCTAATAGATTCCAGTATCAAAACTGTCAGGTACCTGTAGGGACCTCTATTATAGACCTATACTCTATTTTTAGCACAGTCTTATAAATATGTTTGGAAAAACACTCATAGATTAAGAGAAAAAAAATTGCAGGAAAATATGCATTTTTATTCAAATGGTAAATATTAAATAAATTTAAAGGAAGTGCTCTAACTATAAATATTTTATTTTATTTCATTTAACAACACTGATTCTGTAAAGTGGTGTCTAAATATAGATTCAATCAATGTGTTTTAAAATACCACTTTATTTAGAATGCTGTAAAAACCCAATAAACGCCTAAAATATTATAAATATCAGTTTAATTGCAAAAATCCTTCAAAATCAACTGATAGTTAAAAGGAATTTGGTTGCAAATGGCATTATGCTAATTTAAAAATGGAATGAAGTTGGCTGAAACTATTGGAAAAATTATCTCCCTTAATGGAACTCTCCTATTATAGAGGAATTAAAAGTATGATGTCTAAATGGCAGACGAAAAGATGAATATTGATTTGAGGACAATTGTGATAAAAAAATCTCTAGTTTTGTTGAAAGATTGTAAAATAGATACAGCTGCACATACAAGGTATTTTAAATGCAGCATAGAAGACATTTCTGTCCCTAAAACGCTTCTTATCTTGAACCATCTGAACCGTGCAGCTGTTATGGGACTTGGACCGTCTAATTTCTGTAGACATACCTACATGTATGTATCAAACAGCTGTCAAACACAGAGATATACTTGGTCTACTCTGTCACCCATATCTGATAGGGGAAACGCTATTATCCAAACCGAGAGGGTCAAGCTGAACGAGGTTTTGCCTGTTGGAACTGGTAAGAACATTATGCGGTTTTTGTACATTCCCCAAAAAATTAAAGACTAAAGAAATTTTGCTGAACCATTTAATTATTAATAACTTAATTTCTGACCTTAAAGTTTTCAGAGAGACACTGTACATGATATCTGGGTTGTCCATAAGGAATAAGAGATTTTTTAAAAAAAAAAAAGCATGTTGGGGGTTCCTCCCCCTAGTGAGGGTTGAGAGGGCAATGCCAGAGTAATCAGGGAATTATGTCATTATAGGTGAAGAAATTCCCCAGTCCCTAGGTCTTATGGACAACCCTATATTATAATATAATATCACAAAGTGATATCATAATTGAAATATTTACTGACTTTGTCTATATAGTATGTGAAAACCTTTTGATATGAAGTTTATTTACATGTTCAATCTATAATGATTTATATTTATCAACTTATTTAATTCCTAACTGTTACAGGTATATGCAAAAGATGTATAGAAACACACACTAAAAAATCAGTATGGAAGGAGAGTTGAAGGAAAAGTTTAAAAATATACAAATTATACATGTACTGGGTGTATATATATGTACAAGTTTTATCAAATTTTTTCTAAAAGTCACTCAGTAGTTTATAAATCAAGCTTCACTTATGAAACAAAATTACATGCTTTTATTATTTTATAGCTGAAATACATGTAAAAAGTGAAAACTCTTGAGCAGCAGTCCACTTGTTAAGTCTTGTTCTTACTGAAGTAAATTAAGGATTCTACAGTAAATGTTGATGAATGGCTTTTACACTCAGTAGTTTCATGATATCAATAGATTTCACATGTAAATGATCCAATCCTGTTTGAAAATAAATTTCAATTGCATATTATTTTGAATTAGTTCTAAAAATAAAATCTCTAGTGTAATTTTTGTTTCATTTCATGTGTATGTAAATGGTTATATGTAATCATTTAACTATGAGGATTATTAAGTATTGTATAGTTAATATTAAAATTAATGTTTATTCTTTAGCAGAAATGTGTTCCTATTGACAAGGCAGCAAATGAATCAAATCAAACAGGTGATCACTTATTGTAATATATTATATATTTTAAGGCACTGCATAATAATAAAGATAATGTCAATGTTTAATATCTCAAAAACTAATTTAGCAAACATGTTTCATTTTCACACTGAAAAAGTAAAATTAAAAGGGCATTGTTATCATGCAGTTCAATAATGTGAACCTGAGTTTGTACATGTGGTTAACATTTCATAATGTATATACACAAGTTACAATAATAATGATAATGTACATGTAACTGCTCATTCACATTATTGATAAACAAAATCACAAAGAAGTTAGGTCAAAATGGTGAAGATGCCTGAATATGTGACTGATAAATTGAAAAGTCCAGTCCATATAGTTCAAGTTTTGAACTTTATATAATTATGAATCATTCAAAATGTTTCAGCATTAGCATATTTATATATACTTCATGGTTTTTC